GAATGAACCAATTGATCGTACCAATCGTACTGAAGAGATCAATCATTAGCAAATTCCTCCCAAACGGCTCGTTTATCGCTGCTGACGATTTTCAATCACCTAGAGAACTGGCTGAATATCTGCAGTATTTGATGGCTAATCGAACTGAATATGAGAAGTGAGCCGTTGCAACACTTTATTGATTCGTCGTTGCTACTGCAATTACTATCATTGCCCTAATAACCACACGAAATAATTTTCCCTTTTTTTCAGATTTTTTGAATGGACAAAGACATATGAGAAGGATAATCACGTGGATTTTGCTTGCGATGTATGCAAATTCCTGCATGAAACAGTGAACAAATCCCGGATCGTGCCAGATATCCGAAAATGGTGGTTTGGTGGAAAGAATGATAGCGTATGCGAAAAGGATTATGCAGAACGTCTTATCTCGTGAATAAACCAATCGTGCAAAATTTATCACGACCATATATTCGAGCACCTCATTCCTCTCAACATTTTGAACACTTTTAAAAATATTTGTGTCCCATCTAGTTTAATGAGTTCGAACCCCAGTTTTCCTTAAGTCTTCTCGTAGTGTGCTAATCAGACCATCGTAAAACTTGTTGAGATCAAGAGAATGTGAGCCGTGTTCACGCGCAAACGCATCTCTGCGTCAGTCCGTAAATTCGATGCAAGTGCCAAAAGACTCTTAATTGGAATCATATTTGGAATAAGCACCACGTGTTGTTAATTCGAGCTGATCCCTACCGAACTATAGGATGGGGATTGCCTACGTTGGTGTTCGAAATGGCTACGTCGGGGATCGAAATCACCTGCCCCCATGCGTGGCCCCCTTCATTCAAGAAATCCCCACCTGTGCGAGTGCACCAGCAGAAGGGATAATTCATTAGATATTCTCAAGGAACTTAGCGGAAATGACGTAAATGTGAATTATTGTGAACATTTGTGGAATGAAATTTGTGTAATGTGACATAATGTAACACGAGGCAAATGTATGGTGAGATGATTCGTGTAATGTCATTACACGAATCATCTCACCATACATTTGCCTCGTGTTCATCTGTTTATTGCATGATTAACTATGAAATTGATGCAGTTTGGCATTGAACAAATAAGAGCATTACTACACTATTCAAAAACAAGCTTCATGAATTTCTGATAAGCTGAACTGCTGACCAAATGATTTCATCGCGTTCCAGTTACATTGTAATTGTACGCTGGAATCAATGACAAACTAATGGCTTATCGCGAACCTTCACATGCAACTTGATATGAATCACTCATTGCGTTTTTAGTAAATCCGAAGTTAATATGAATAAATAATAAATGAGTACACTGGAATAAGGTGAATAACATGTTTGAATGTGGGCAAACAAAACATCCATTGATAGTAGATGCGTTCAGTGATAAGACTCTGACATACTGTATTGACTGTTGGTTGACCGATGTCCACTCGCCCTCTACATTCACCATCCACTGGATGCATTCATCCATGCGGTCGTAGACCTGAAATGATCTGTAAAAAAATTTGCAGTGAACTTTACGTAGACATTTAAATGAACTAGATTTTATTATCACACTTTTCTGAATTTTTATTTTGTCACTTCTATTCTGATTTCTTGAATTGTGTTTGCTTGTTCCATCGGTACACCTCATTGCCCACTGGATCCAGTATAGCAATCGCGTCGACCTGAAATCTAAAATATTACATACGAAATGAGAGGTTTTCAATGAACCGAGCAATAACTGCAACCGAACACGATTACTGATGGAATCGTGGATTCCAATGGCTTCTCGCCATTGGATTCATCCAATGGCATCTTGCCATTGGATGAAATGAAATAAACGAAACAATAAATGACAACAAAATCAGTCCAGGCCAAATTCCACCCATCCACCCGCTTTGGCCTGGAACTGATTCCAACCGCCCTCCCCACCCAACTCCCACACAACCCCGACCCCCTCCCTCATCTTATCATGTATGCCACCACCTATGGCGGCAACCCATCCACCCGACGTCTCAAACCTATCCTCAATCTAGAAATCACGAACCCTTTTCTTAAACGGTCAATCCATGAAAAAGAGTCATCTTAAGTTCATCTGGAAATCATTTTTCCTCTTGATTACGTCTCCTTTTTTGATTAATAAGAAGTATCTCCACAGAGACGTCGGGTGAATGTTTCTAAAATTCCCATATCTGCTCATTTAAGTGCGGTGGCCCACCCTCTCGACCCCGCCACCGCCTCTGGTATACTGCTTCAATTGATATTAGATAAATTCAAATTCCACCGTTCCAATTGTTTGAACAGCTCAATGATTTTATAATAATTTCCTTATTGACTCATACTATAAAATCTC